CAGGATGGTCTCGATCTCCTGACCTCGTGATCCGCCCGTCTCGGCCTCCCAAAGTGCTGGGATTACAGGCTTGAGCCACCGCGCCCGGCCAAACTCGTTGTTCTTAAGAAAAAAATTTAGTTTGAGAGTCTGAGGAATGATAAGTTTGTTACATTCCGGAATCTAGTTTTGGTGCTGTGTCCATCCTTTAGATAGAGTGCAGCTCTGTATTACCATAGCAACAACTAACTTTTGTTTCCATAGCCACTGACTGTACTCCTGACCCTGCCAACCATCTTGCAAATGCATCCTCTTGCTTAGAACCAGGGAAGGAGTGGGGCATGGTGGCTTATGCCTGCAATCCCAGAACTTTGGAAGGCTGAAGCGGGCAGATCACTTTGAGCTCAGGAGTTGGAGACCAGCCTGGGCAAAATGGTGAAACTGTCTCTTAAAAAAAAAAAAAAAAAAAAAAAAAAAATCACACCACTGCACTTCAGCCTGGGAGACAGAGCCAGATTCTGTCTCAAATAAATAAACATATTTTAAAAATAAAATAAAGTGGAGTCAGGCACAGTGGCTTGTACCCGTAGTTCCAGCTACTTGGGAGACTGAGGCAGGAAGACTGCTTGAAGCCAGGAGTTCAAGACCGGTCTGGGCAAAATAGACTTCCATTTCTCAAAAAAGAATTGTAGAGGAACTCTAAAAACATTTTTTAATAACAAACAAAATACAGGTATAGTTCAAATGTAATATAATACATAAGCCAAGACCACTTAGTTTTTCTTTCTCCAGGGTCTGTCTCCCCACCTTGCCCAGCGAATTTCTTTTCTTTTTTCTTTCTTTTTTTTTTGAAACCGTGTCTCTCATTGTCACCCGGATAGGAGTGCAGTGGCGTGATCTTGGCTCACTGCAACCTCTGCCTCCTAGGTTCAAGTGATTCTCCTGCCTCAGCCTCCTGAGTAGCAGGGTTTACAGGTGCCAGCCACCACGTCCAGCTAATTTTTTGTATTTTTAGTAGAGATGAGGTTTCACCAGATTGACTAGGCTGGTCTCAAACTCCTGATCTCATGATTCGCCCGCTTCGGCCTCCCAAAGTGCTGGGATTACGGGCATGAGCCACTGCACCTGGCCAACACGTTTCTTATTCAACAAACTTTTCTCTTATCACTGCCCTTGTGAAACAGCAGCATTGGGGGCAATTTCCACGCTACCTGAAGCCTTGAAGTCCTTTTCCTGTTTCGTAGGAGCTCTCTACTCGTGATGGGGATCCTACCTTTCATACACATCAGCTGCACTTAGTAGATTTACGGATTTCCTGGACAACTACTAATCGAGACATTGCCTTTGGGTTATATGATGGCTACAAAAAGGCAGCTGTACTCAAACGTAATCTCTCTACGGAGGCCCTGAAGGGGTTAAAGATTGATCCACAGATGCCAGCCAAAAAGCCAAAGCGGGGTGTCCCAAGTAGTGCCTCAGCCCCACCTCGTGCTAACACTCCCAGCTTCAGTGGACAGCCTGATAAGGGGTCATCAGGAGGTAAGCTTGGGGAGATGAGACTTTATGGGTTTGGGTTTAGAACATGGATATGGGCTTGGACAAGAGTTTGAAAAGGACTGAGTCATGGCTGCTTCCATCTATGTGCAGAAGTGAAACTATCATTTTTCCTTCTGAGGCCACCTAAGTCTTATATATTAAGTAACAGTGATGTTGGGGCATTAAATGGTCTGGTCCCGTGGCCAGAAGAGAATCAGAAGGGGAGTGATGGAGCCAAAACAAGATGAGTAAGGGAAAGAAACAAAGTGATAAATGTCACAAGAGAGAAATAAAAGAAAATGGGAGTTAGCCGGGTGCAGTGGCTCACCCCTGTAATCCCAGCACTTTGGGAGGCTGGGGTGGGTGGGTCACTTGAGGTCAGGAGTTCAAGACCAGCCTGGCCAACGTGGCAAAACCCCATCTTTAGTAAAATTAATACAAAAAAAATTAGGCAGGGTGGCATGTACCTGTAATCCCAGCTACTTGGGAGGCTAAGGCACGAGAATCGCTTGAACCCAGGAAGTGGAGGTGACAGAGCAGGAGTGCATCTCAAAAAAAAAAAA